TTTAATATTTATATTTCTAATTTAGAGAAAGTGAGTGTTAGTTGTTGTGTCTGTAATGCAGAACAAATGTTCAATATGATTTTTTGCATACAAAAATTTAACGGCTGGAAAGTAATATAAGCCATACTTTTAATCTTATATTTTGTTTGTTTGTTTGTTTGTTTGTTTGTTTGTTTGTTTGTTTGTTTGTTTGTTTGTTTGTCTGTCTGTCTTTCTTTTATGTCAAAACGGAGCGACGGGTTGACGTGATTTTTGTGTGGAGATATTTGAAGGGCTGGAGTGTGACATAGGCTACTTTTTACCGCGGGAGATGAGCTCATTCCCACGAGAAAACACGTTATAATACAAGAAATATTTATGATCAGAATTACTTGAAACTTCGTATTAATGCTCTTCAATACAATTAAATAAATACGTGTTTTAGCATTTTTCGAATTTCTATTTTTTAGAGTTTTTCTGTAATTTTACTAGCACTAGTTGGTTATCTTTTAGACGAAGACTGCAGTTTCGAAGGTATTTCATTAGAACAGTAATAAATTTTATCAAACTTAATTTTTATTTTTATAAACATATTTAAAATATATGAATATTAAAATACTTTAATATTAATAAGCATTATTCTAAAGCAAAAAATTGTAATGTATATTCCAACAACAATTACCATGTTTCTTTTGCATTGTTTTTTAAACATACATTTTTAAACATTTATAATTATCAAATTTAACATTTATCAAAGTTGTAGTAGTTAAGATTATCTAACAATATGAAAATATTATTTAATTACACACAATAAATGGGTAAATTAATTTAAAATCGCATTATTTGTGTCCGGCAACCCAAGTGAAGTCAACGCTCACTGAGTGACTTCAGTGGGTGGTGTACCATGCGGGTTGCTCCTGGTACTTCTCTGATAGCAGAGTGGACTGTAGGAGCAACCTATTGGTCTTGTCTGCTTCAGCAGACCTCCGCATTAAGATGGCGGAGGCTTCATTGGGTTTTAGTGAGCAGTACTGGCTGTTCTGGGCAGTGAGTCCCACATGCGAAATGCCTTAAGAAAATGATATAGATAACATTCTCTAAAACGATTTCTACGTGTATAATATGAACATGGTTGTCATCTAATATATCTTTCTTGTTTCTCAAAATGTTCGTCTATACTAATACTCCTCTATACTAATATTATAAAGAGGTAAAGTTTGTGAATTGTGAGTTTGTGAGTTTGTGGCGTTGTAGGGGTAATCTCTGGATCTACTGAACTGATTTAGATGAAATTTGGTAAGAAGATAGTTTGAGACCCTGGGAAGGACATAGGATACTTTTTATCCCAGAAGTCATCCCTTAAGGGGGTGAAAATGGGAATGAAAGTTTGTATGGGTAATCAACCTAAGGACGAACCCAAGCGAAGCGATGGTGACTCGCTAGTAATAAAATAAAACCGATTGCGTACCGTCGATATTTTTATTATTAAATATTTTTTTAATTATAGCTTTTTAGTTTTAGCAAATTATACATTTGGAGTTTTATTTAACGATCTTTTTTCTGAAATTACTAATAAACTTATAAATTACATATAAATTATATATATATATATATATATATATATATATATATATATATATATATATATATTTAATGGCCTCTTAAACAACTTAATTTCCATACCCATATATGTTTGGAAGATTCTTTTTCTCGAGATGAACAGTTGGCACCTGAAATCCGCCATTTTAATTTTAATTTAAATTCACCTACCCTATAACATTCTTTACGCTTCGCCTCAGTCGGGTTAACAACATCTTGTAAAATTCACGGAAATAATGAATATTGTATAAAAAGTACCTACTTTGTAATAAAGTTATTAAAGATAATTTATTAAGCAGTGGCCTTACTTTGAACATGTTTTAAGCCAATCAATTGGTATCCGGTTTATCAAATATATGCCTCCCCCCCCCCCCAACGTGCGTTCACCTTGTCGTGGTGGGGGGGCTCAGTAGTGCCCGGCAATACAGCCGGGCGCGAAGCCAAGAAACGCACAGGGAGGTGGCCCACTTCGGTGGGCGGTGGGAGGTGGCCCTCTTCGGAGGGCGGTGTACCATGCGGGTTGCTCCTGGTACTTCTCTGATAGCAGAGTGGACCTTGGAGCAACCCCATGGTTATTGTGGTCTGCTTCGGCAGACCTGCCGTCGGGGCGTCGTAGTTGAATGCGTAAGCGATCCTGCGACGCCCCATTAAGACGGGGGAAGGTTTGTTGCGTTTTAGTGGGTAGTACCGGCTTTGCTGGTGAGTCCCACACCTCGTGCGTAAATGCATTTCCCAACGTTAAAATAAAGGAATGAGTCATGCGAACAGTATGTTTTATAGCAGACCGATATTCGATTCCTATATGAGATACAGGTGTTTAGGATAAATGGTATGTATGGTAAATTACAATTTTGATAAATTTAAAAAAACTACGTCGATAAAAGAGCATCTAAAACACCATAAGCTATAAATTTCAAATAAATTAATAATCATAAGTTAGAGAGAATATTTCTGTCTGGATAATTATTAATCTTCATTTTTCATATAAATACTAAGAAAAAATAACAATAAAACCGACCAAGTGTAAGTCGGACTTTCGCACGAAGGGTTCCGTACCATTATCTATAAAAACGGCAAAAAATCATGTCTGTTGTATGGGAGCCCCCTGATATATTTATTTTATTCTGTTTTTTAGTATTTTTTGTTATAACGGCAACAGAACTATATCATCTGTGAAAATTTCATTTGTCTAACTGTGACGGTTCATGAGATACAGCCTGGTGAAAGACGGACAGACAGACAGACGGACAGCGGAGTCTTAGTAATAGGGTCCCGTTTAACCCTTTTGGGTTCTACCCTAAAAAGCTACAAACCGATGCTGATATTTAAATGAATATTTTAGTAAAATAATACATTTATAATATAATTTTTATATTATTTTACTTTTAAATTAATTTTTTTTTGTACAAATTACGTATATAATTTTTTTTTTAACATTCGTTTTGCTCGGGTGAGTCGTGTGAGGTACGTTTTATATATATAAAAATAGTTGTTGCGAGTGTTCCTTATGAGAGAGACATAATGTTGGCTCACTGTTACAAGGTTCTATGTTACAATTTTAGTACTTACTAGTATTGCATTGTGATGCGGTAACAGACAGACAGACAGACAAAAATTCTAAAATCTATAGATTCGGACTCTGTATCGATAACAATGTCTATTGCAATTAGATTTTCCAAAAAATATTTAATGTACAGATTAGACTTAGTTACAATTTTATTATATTATGTATAGATTAATGCTACAAGGTTCTATGTGTCATTAGCTACAGTTTTGCAAAAACAAACCACTAGATAGCGGCACTATAACTACAAAATATTCAATTTTACATAGTTCTATATTGTTTTTTTACGATAGCAAAATAACGAAGTTCTATGTAAAAATTACTAAACTTCATTAAAATTAACATAGAACCTTGTAATAGTAAGCCAACGAATTATGTTATTGCGGATTTTTGTATAGGCCTCTTTAAAACCCACAATTTTGTGGTACATTCTTATGATTAATCAAGGTTAAGCCAGAGTTAAATTTGTGTAAATTTCTAAGAACGACTCAACAGAACCACTTGTTATTTTCCCGTGGAGATGAAAGGTTTTTTTGTACTGAATGTATCCTAAATATTGATGAATTTCGAAAAATCCTTTCTTATTGGATGCCTACATTGTATAAGGAATATGTCCTCCAAATTTCGAGTTTCTAGCTCAGTGCCCTCTTAGTGTTATTATAAAAATAACAGGATACTATAGAAGGTTATATTTGAGTTCTGAATCGCGCTATTATAGTTTTGTATGATCATTATTATATAGTGTTAACGTCGTATCATTGTCATAATCGTGCCTGCTTGCTAGTATACTCGTATAAGTACTGCCGAAGCAGGCACGATATTCGATCGATTTATTGAACTATGTATAGATATAAATATAATATAATAAAGTTGTAAATAAACCGAATCTGTATATTAAATATTTTTTGGAAAATCTTATTGAAATAGTCATTATTATTGACACAGAGGCCGAATGTATAGTTTTTATTATTTTTGTCTGTCTGTGTGTTACAGCATCATTTTTGATAAAATTTAGTATGATGGTAGCTGGTTATCCGGGTCAACATATAGGATACTTTTTACTGCAGGAAAATCTCTCCTCTCTGAAAAATCTATACTAAACGTTAAAACGTATCTAGGGGCGAACCCGAGTGGAGCGAAGGTGAGTCGCTAGTATATAATAAAACAATAACTTAGCGAAATCGATGTGCGCGTTTCAACTAGAAAATACTGACCCAATTTTAACTAAATGTTATGTTTGATAACTTATTACTCGAGTCAACATTTCGGATACCTTTTACTACAGGAAAAATCTTTCATTCCCACGGGAAAACACAGTAACGGGTTCTTTTGAATCGTTCTTAGAAATTTACATATCTAACGCTAAACCTTAAGTGATACTTCAAAACAATGTACTAGAAAATTCTAGGTCTTAGTAAGGCTTGCAGAAAAATCTACCATAACATAAGTCTTAACCAAACCCCCCTCGTAAGGTACACTCGCAATAACAATTCATATCTATTTAAAACGTACCTCGGGACACACCCGAGCGAAGCTAGAGTAAAGCGCTAGTATAAAATAATAAAGAATCAAAAAATATAAACAAAAAAATCAGACAAAACATAAAATTAATAACAAATATTAATTAACAACATTAATATTGTTTATAATAATAAATTGAGGGTAATTTTAAAAACATGGCAATACTGATCTATTTCATATTATACCCCCACAAAATAATTACCAACAGTCGCCCTAAAACTTCTACGGGCGTCTAAACCATATTATAATTTTACTTTTATATAAATATAATTAGTTTATATTTTAAAATTATAATTATAAGTATAATTTATAAAGTTTTTATAAAAGAAAATATAAAATGGAAGAATTGTGGAAGGATACAAATATATTTTACAACGTTTTGTGCTTTCTGATCACCGAGAATGAGAAGCTTTTTGATAGAAGCGATTCAAATTTGTATTGGAGGACTGTTTTTCATATTTTTGGCATTCTACATCACACCTACGTAGGGATTTCTGGAACAACATTTGGCATTGAAAATAGTAAAATACCCGATATTCGTATGTTATATACGTATCGTGCTGGATATCTAACTGGGTGGAACTTCGTAAGTGATATCAAAAGATAATATTTATAAGTATCTATTTTATAGTATTTATAAATGAAAAGATTTGTTTGTTTGTTGGTTTGAGCTAATTTAGAATCAGTTCGATTTGAAAATTTCTTTTTGCATTGTATAGGCTTAAGAGCTCAACATCGTGTACAATGTATGTACATAACTGACTGTACCTACAACCGTTTCAAACTCTGACTTCTAATGGAAGTCTCATTAAATTCGGTAAAACTATTTCTGGAATTACCAAATATTTATTTAAATTTGTTTAAGATTTATTACAAACAGATTTTTTTATAAATAATTAGCAACTAACTCTCGCTTCCCTCGGATTCATCAAGAACGATCCCTAGAAGTGTTGTAACGGTAAGTATGGACAAGATAGAATATATATTGTACTAGCATTGCCCGCGGCTCCGCCTGCGTTCAGATACCAAAAGTCAAATTCTTAGGTTTTACATATTAGTATACTCTTACAATGCAGTTTTTGTATTTTTTTTTATAAATGAGATATTTTTCCGCGGTAAAAAGTATCCTATATGCTGACCCGGATAACCAGCTATCACCATACCAAATTTCATCAAAACTCCTCCAGTGGTTTTCCCGTGATGCTGTAACAGATAGGCAGACAGACAAAAATTCTTAAAAACTATAGATGCGGCCTCTGTATCGATAATAATGTCCATTTCAGTAAAAAAAAATCCAAAAAATATTTAATGTACAGATTCGGCATAGTTAAAATTTTATTATATGTATAGATTATATATAGCCTTCCTCAATAAACGGGCTATCTAATGCAAAAATAATATTTCAAGTCGTAGTAGTAGTTTCTGAGATTAGTGAGTTCAAACAAACAAACTAACTCTGCCTCTTTATGATATTAGTGTAGACTAGCGGCTTACATAAGTTTAACTTACGTCCCTAAGTGCCTAACAAACCAACCAACCTACCAAACAAAGTATCCAATATCAAGTATGGTCAATTTCATCCAAATTTGTTAGCCGTTTCAGCGTAACAAACATACACATATTTATACTAATATTATAAAGAGGTAAAGTTTGTGAGTTTGTGACGTTATAGAGGGTAATCTATGGATCTATTGAACCGATTTAGATGAAATTTGGTAAGAATATAGTTTGATACCCTTGGAAGGACATAGAATACTTTTCATCCCGGAAATGATCCCTTAAGGGGGTGTTAATGGGAATGAAAGTTGGCTTATAAACAAATATAGTATAAAAAATTTAAAAATATTCAGAAAATGCTTTAAAAAACATTTATAAATTTTAAATGTTTTGCAATAAATAGTTTTTGTTTAATGTTTAATTCATATATTGCGTTAATTAATTTTTAACAAAGGTTTTTATTTTAATTTTGCATGCTATATGTTTTATTTATTTTGTTGAATTGTAAATGTACTCGTGTATAAAGAGGGTGTCACGTGGCATGTGGCAAATGCAATTTATGAACTTTGAACGTGCTCATTAAATATATTAATAAAATTAAAGTATTCATGACGCTAATCAGATAGTAGGGAATCCCGATCTATGTGGTGGGCTCCTCACTCTTTTTCTACGCGAAATATATTTTTTAATCGACCCAGGGGATGACCCAGGGGGGTTGTCACCAGCAGGGGTGTTGTAGTGAATGCGCAGGTGATCCTGCAACGCCCCATTGCACTGCGGCGACGGGTTCCGCTGTGGGTTTTAGTGAGTAGGAGTCTCACAGTACCCTGCCCATTGACGGTCGGTAGGGTCCCCATGACGGGTTTCCCCAGCGTCAACAAAAAAAAGGGGGTTGTCACCAAAAATTTGCTCCAGGCTGTTTTATATTTTTTTTAATGTTTTTTTAAGCACAAAAACTCTTTTCCTGTGACAACTTATCTCAATCGAATCGAACTTAGTATCAATCGAAAAAGACGTGTAGAAAATGCCATCTTGCGGCCGTTTGGCGGCGTTTTTCGAACACATTACCTGACATGCAGGTAAAAACAGGTAAATTGAAGTGGTTAATTGCTTGTATCGGATCGTATTATCTGAAACTAACCAAGTATCAAAATGTACATAATTATATTACAAATTTAATAAAATAGGGTTGTCATACCAAAACGTCTCCATATTAGAGGTTTGTAAATAAAAATAGCATGGAGCAAATCTGAGTTGTGTTTATTAATATATTTTATGGTTTAAAAAAATATATTTCACCTGGAAAAATAGTGAGGGGTCCACCACATAGATCGAGATCTTAGACTATATCCATAAAACTTGGTACAAGAAATGTCTGCACATGAAGCCAAACAGTCTAAATATGAAGTAAGCAAAAATTGAACTACTTTATACTAAAATCCATCTTTTTTTATTTTTTCAAAATATATTAATATGGGAACCTGGGAACCTTTTGTTCCCAGGCTTTTGTGTCCAAAGTTCCTGGGGGCGTCCAGAAGATATTGTTATACTATTTTCGAAGTGTTAACCCTAAAAACAAAGAAAGATCAAGGCAAAATGCATTGAATTATAATTTATTTTAATGAATCCATCTATAATGAATACAAATGAAGGATGTTTCGCTAATTAGACTTTCAGCAATGCGATTTTAATTAATACGATTTTTAATTATTACGATTTATTAATTCGAATTTGTATCAGTGTTTGTGTGTATGTTTGTTACGTTGCTCTTTCACGATGAAATATTTCGACAGGCTTGGCCATCGATCAAAAAAGTACCTACTAGATACACAATGCCATGCAAAAGTTCTCTTAAAACTGTCACGAAATTAGGTAATTATTCTAGTTAAAATAAATATAAAACAATGTAAATTGAACATTGAATGCAAAGCTTAAAGTTATTTTCACAAAAAAATAATTAAAAGCGCGCTCAAATGTTCAAAAGCTCATTCGGTGAGGATATTTTTGTCGCTGATTAAGTATTTAGTACTTTTTTTACACATAGGCTTTTGAACACATAGGCTACTTTTAGGACCCTAAAGATACAGGGCCCCTAAGTCGCTTGTTACACGTAAGAAGTTTTGTAGAATTCAATAACTTCTAATATTGTTCAAATATAAACACTTACAAACGGACAAACTAACGCCATTATATATGGTTAGAAATCACGCCACATCCCAGAATCATTCACAAACTAGAGTACTTATACGATAAAGATAATTAACTTAAAAGGTCAAAGAGATAGAAGAAATATGTACAAAGGTCAATAATAAACTGTAATTAACAAAAACAGTTTTAAAGAAAAGAAAATAAAAAAAATAATTTCGCAGAGCTGTGTTATTAATTCCGCCTTCGTATGTATTTTTGCTTAGTCCACAACTAATAAACCTATACATATAATAAAATTCTGTACATTAAATATTTTTTGGAAAATCTTATTGAAATAGTCATTATTATGGATACGGAGGCCGAATCTATAGTTTTTAGAATTTTTGTGTCTGTCTAGAACGCATCACGAGAAACCCACCAGACAGATTTTGATGAAATTTTGGTATGATGATAGCTGGTTATTCGGGTCACCACTAAACATATAGGATTTTTACTGCAGGAAAATATCTCATCTGTGAGAAATCTATACTAAGCGTTAAAATAAAACGATTCATACTTATATGTTTTCACTTAAATTTTCAATAATAAATATGTATCGAATTTCGACCACCAGGCGACGATTAAAGGCTCACAAACGTGTTTTTATAGTTTGAAGTCAAAGACATTTATTATCTAACATTTGACGACACGTTTGGCTTATAGTACTTGCTGTGACAGCGGGCGCGGGTTCCAGTCCTGCTGGGGGCATTCATTTGTGTGATGAGCACGAATGTTTGTACTCCAGTCATGGGTGTTTATATTTATAGATATGTATGTATTTACAGTTATATACGTGTACTGTATCAACTATCTGGTATCCATAACACAAGCCTTGTAACTTACCATGGAACTAGATAGTAGATGGTGCTGTGTGTTAATGTTCCAACATATTTATTTATCTAACCCCTTTCATCCTATATTGAGTAACGAGACCATACTTCCTTATTATCAAATGTTTACTTCCGTTCACATTTTATCTTGGGGGTGTCGAAACTACCCTATATATTCTTATCAGTTTATCATTAATTGTTATCACGTGACAGTTATGTAGACTTCGACCGCCGACCTTTTTGATAAGGGCCACCACATGTGTAATTACAACCGTATGTAATATACTAGCGTGTCTCCGCAGCTCTGCTTGCAGTGTATTAAAGGATTTTTATTAACTTGCCATATTTGTATATACTCGTAAGTTGTACGTTTAAAAAAAATACAAACTCCTCTCGACAATGGAGGTCCGATGGAGAGATAGCTGTCCTTACTATTTTTAAGCATCTGCTCATTGTCGTATTAGGCACAAGTGGATAGGTTTTGGCGAATATATTGTAACGTAAATGATTTTTTATAGAAGTGAAATTTCTTTAGAATCGTTGTGATTTGAAACTCGATGAAACGGAAATACGACACTATCTTTTAATTTCAACCACTTCCTGATACCAATTGAGCTGGAACTTGGTATACTTCTGTAATTTTAGTGACAATGAAATATTATCGTACCCTCGAGCTGATTTGATGATGGAGATGGAATCAAGAGGCTAAAATTCCCTCATGGCATTTAGTCGGATAACCTAATATGTCTTGTTATTTATATAAAACTAGCGACTTACCCATGCTTCGCTCGGGTTCGTCCCTCGATGCGTTTTAATAGTTAGGATGAAATACAAATCTTTGAATTTTTCGACTTTTATGTCCTATAATATGCGTGTATTATACATATAAACCTTCCTCTTTAATCACTCTATCTATTAAAAAAACCGCATCAAAATCTGTTGCGTAGTCTTAAAGATCTAAGCATACATACGGACAGACAGACAGCGGGAAGCGACTTTATACTAAATAGTGACTAGCGGCTCATCACTAGGTACATTTTAAATAGATATAAATAGTTATTAGCCAACGTTATCCATGTAAATTTCAATTATATTTTTTAGACCAAACTAACAAATCAAAGATAATAAAATCGGTTCAACCCTTTAGTTATAAATGGTGTAAGTAACTAACCCGACTTTCTTCTATATACACATATATATATATATATATATATATATATATATATATATATATATATATATATACATACATATATATTATATACTAGTAGTAACTGCCTCGGTGGTGTAGTGGCTAGCATGTACGGTTGCACACCCGGAGGTCCTGGGTTCTAATCCCGGGTCGGGCCAAGTTTAGTTATTGAGTCTGTTGGGAAGTTGGCGGTGTTTCACCCCCGTGCCTCGGAGAGCACGTAAAGCCGTCGGTCCTGCGCCTTAACTCTCACTGGTCGTGTCGAGCAGTCGTCCCACCGGAGTGTGAGAGTGATAGGAACAGAGAGTGCACTTGTGTCTGCGCGTACACGCGCTGCACTATAATATCTCCTACGCAGTTGGCGAGTCTCAATGAGATTGGCCGCCGTCGCCGGAATCGGCTAGGAGAACATCAATACTAGAAGTACCCGCGGCTTCGCCCGCGTATAAAAATATGTTTAACAATAATGTATGGAAGTCTGCCCGATTTGTTGACGTTTATGATTACTGCTCCGGTCCCTTGGGTAGTCCGATCCGTTCAGCTGTTCTGGCGTGATTGAGTAACAAACATCCAAACATCTAAACTTTCACATTTATAATATTAGTAAGCTCGAGCTATTGGGTGATATTTACTGATGCGACGATCTCAGGTAACACTCACGAGTGAAAGACCGCAAACGTTGTGCGTTAAAATACTTAAACTTAAATTATATACTATTAATTTCCCAGTCATATATTGAAAATTTTCAAAATTTCTTTCACTGATTTACTTAGTTTTCATCTATATTATATATCCATTGTGTTAAATATGATATTAATAATATCATAATACTTCATTCTCCATTGGTTTTTCGGACCAATTTTAACATTTTTGTGATGAAAATTCAAACAAAAAAATCGTGGTCTATAGACGTTTCACGAAATAATTACACACGTGCTAATATTTTTTTATTATATAATCAAATTATATACAGTAAAGGGCAAACTTTATCTCTGTTAAGGTCGTGAGATGATGAAATATATTATTTTTATAAATATAAATATTACTTAGTGTTACGAATGATTTTCCAAGTAAAATTACTGAGCTTCGGCAATTTCTCTTTTATTTAATTAATTCTACAGAATGCCCTACAAAATGACTATTATTTGACGACACGTTTGGCTCAGTTTGTAGTGACCCTACTTGCTATGCCAGCGGTCGCGGGTTCAAGTCCCGCCGGGGGCATTCATTTGATGAGCACGAATGTTTGTATTCCAGTCATGGATGTTTATATTTATAATATCTATGTATTTAAAGTTATATATATGCAGTGTATCAACTATCGAGTATCCATAACACAAGTTTCGTAGCTTACCATGGAACTAGATGGTGATGTGTGCTAATGTCCCAACATATTTATTATTTATTTATATTATAACAGCTATTTAAACACTACGTCTCCACCGTTGAGTGTGTCACAGTGGATGACAAAACTTTTAAAATATTAAATATTTAAAATATAACAATCCCATATCTGTATTAATATTACAAAATTGTAAATAATGAAGTATAAATTATCAACATCAAATTAATATTATAAAATATAAAATTATAACTAAAAAAATATAAAGAATCAATATGATCTATTAAATATGTAATCTATACTTTTTACTAATATTATAAATGTGAAAGTGTGTTTGTTTGTTTGTTTGTTTGGTTGTTTGTTCGTTTGTTTGTTTGTTTGTTTGTTTGTTTGTTTGTTTGTTTGTTTGTTTGTTTGTTTGTCTGTCCTTTTTTTACATCGAAACGGAGTGACAGATTGGCATGATTTTATTCCGGAAATCGGTCAACGCATTCCAATAAAGTAACCAAACCGCACTTTACGTTTTACACCAAGTACCGACAATGATCAGTTCCTACAAGTTTTAGGGCAATATTAAAATAAATCTTCCTGGAACAACACAGATAATAACAGTAAAAACTGCATCTAAAATAGTTCAGTCGTTATCAAAATTAGAGTGCAATACAAACAGACAGAAGGACGAACACTAACCAGGAAGTAGGTTTTGTATGTGTACGGATATAAATCCATTATGTAAACCAACAATAGAGGGTCAGACGAAAAGTTCATTTAGATAAGTAAGGTCGCCCGTCTCATGTAATTAGTCACTGATAAATACTAATCTTGTTTTATTATATATTATTATATTTATTTATTATATATATAGCTAGCTCACACAATATACAAACTTTCATCCCCATTCTCACCCCCTTAATGGGTGATTTCCGGCATAAAAACTATTTCATTCACTCACTTTTCGTATCATGGGATTTAAAAAAATCTTATCTTAGTAATAAAAACCTTTTAATTTTCTTCAACAGACACAAAAAAAATAATAATTTGGTGCAGTCGACCCGAAGTTATGCGCAAACATACATACATTTCGGTGATTCATTTTTATATAAAGATAGTATATAGTATATAATAATAGATAGTTGGTTAACAATTGTTTTTTTTAACTTAATACTTACTATACATACATACAACAATAAATAATACATACATACATTTTTTTATATTTTACTAAAATCGTTTTAGTGCGAGTCGGATAAATAACTGAAAAAAATGTATTAAAACATAAAAACTCAAGAGAAAGATGTCAAGAGAACAAAAATGTGGATATTCTATCAAAGTTTACTATTCTTTAGTATTATGAAGATAGCGGGTTTATGTCATACGAGCTATAAATAGTATATGATACTTGTGACTTATGCCCGATTTCACCGACGACACCTAAGTTTAAGGGATCCCCTAAGCATGGTTAGGGGACTGTTAGGGGACAGTTTCTGTTTCACCGACAGTTAGGGGTCACCTAAATATTAAAAGGCCCCCTAAATTTAGGTGCTCGAAATATAGGTTTAAAGACGATGGTAAAACGAAATTTAATTTAGGGGCTAGTTTAGGGGACTTTTAAGCTAGGGATCCTATATGTAAGTGGTAGCTTATGGGTTGTTGGTGAAATCGGGCATTAAAGTCGTGCAATAATAGATAAGTTAACATATACGTATCGTAATATATTACGGCGATACTACTATTTCTGATATTTATTAAGTGTTTTCTACGTTTTAAATATCTTATTTTATACTAGCCACTCATCCTCCCTCCGCTCGCGTTCGTCCCTACTTACATTTTAACGTTTAGTATAGATTTCTCAGAGATGAGATATTTTCCCTCAGTATAAAGATCCTATATGATGACCCGGATAACCAGCTATCATCATATCAAATTTGATCAAAATCTGTCCAGTGGTTTTCTCGTGATGCTGTTACAGACAAACAGACAGACAAAAAATATATATATTCGGCCTCTGTATCGATAATAATGACCATTTCAATGAGATTTTCCAAAAAAATATTTAATGTACAGATTCAACTCAGAATGTTATTATATGTAATAGATAATAGATGTAACAATATTTCTTTTCTTACAGGTCTTCCAAACGATTTTTCTTGGAATATCTCTTACTCATGACGTGTTAGAATGGCTCGATAAGGACAAAAGCAGCTTGGGTGAGAAGATAAAATACTGGCGAGATGTTATCTTCTGTGGCATGGTGGTGCCGTGCACTTTGGTAAATAAAATTTTATCAGGACTAGTATTATAAACGTGGGTTCGTTCGTGTGTTTGTGTGTGCGTACGCGTGTGCTTGTGTGTGTGTTACTAAAATGGATGAATCTGATGAAACTTCTTTAAATTAAAAAAAAAAATATAATGAAATATGTAACACGAAATACTTTTTAAAAACAATGACTGCAACGTCTTGTGTACAGAATATAGACCTTAAAACGTTAGATGTTGAAATTTATGTTTTTTTTGTTTATTAACATCTCATACAACTTTTTATGCAAATGATTAACAGACATCAACTTTGTGTAACTATAACTAATTACTCAGAAAATTCTCATTCCCACGCAATAACTTTGCCACCCAAACTGTCCTTCATACAAAGATTTTAATGAATTAATACACAAAACCTAGCAGCACGGTTACCAATTAACATGTTTACTCACCCTCGTTTCGCTCGGGTTCGTCCCTAGGTTGCTTTGCCATAGAAACTTTCATCCCCATTTTCACCCCTTTAAGGGTCTAACTGTCCTAGTGTCCCAGGGTCTCAAACTATGATCTTACCAAATTTCATCTAAATCGGGTCTGTAGTTTCAGACCTAGTTCGGTACAAACATACAAACATACAAAAAATCCTTCCACTTCTATAATATTAGCATAGATACCTACATACAATACAAAAATTGCTCATTTAATATTATAATATACTATATTTCTATTACAGTTTGTCACTACAATGTTTTGGTGTGTATACGCAATAGACAGGGAACTGGTGTTCCCGCAGATATATGACCAGGTCGTCCCCTGGTGGTTTAATCATTGCGTCCATACAAATATTACCATTGTAATTCTTGTCGAGACATTACTCCAAGCCAGAAGAAAACCTACAGACATGAAGCTAGAACTGATCTTATATGTGGTCATTGCGATAGTTTATGCTATAGTGTGAGTATTATTATCCTAATTATATATTAACTGTTAATGATTCCATACAAAATAAACAGAAATCTTCGATTTTCCAGCTGTTTTTTGGGGTTTTCCTATTATTTTTTTAAACTTAAGCTGTCATGATAGGTCCTTATAACATCCGCTATCTGCCAGTGAAAGTCCCGTCCTAATCAATCCAGCCGTTTAGCAGATTAGCCGGAATAAACAGGGAAACAAAAAATTTCAAAATTATGTTTTTCTTATAAGCTCTGTATACACTTTCGTATTCATTTAGTATAAAGCTTTTATTTCAATATTAAAAACAGACACTTCCATTTTATTTATCTGTATAGATGAATAAAATTACAAGTTAATATAAAAAGAAAAAAAATTATCAAGCCCCACTTAAATAAGCTCCACTAAATTCGCCTTTTGAAGTCTGTGGCTTTTTCTTTCAAAACCGGTGACATAATCAATTATATTATAGGAAAAAATATCACGTTGTTAGACAAAAAAGTTTTTTATCTTTGCTAAGTAAACTATATGGCTATAAATAAAAAAAAAACAACCAAAATTGCTAAGTCGTTAACATGAATGTGTAAAAACTTATTCAATATGCAAACCTGATTTGCAATGACACTATTATATTATGTTTTTTTTTTTTTTAAATATTTGGAAAACGTACAGTACAATAATACTTAAAGTTAATCCGATATACATAGTACATAAACCACACGAAGTTTTAGGTACATATATAATATGCTCAATATAATATCAGTTATTTTGATGAGAACAAAAATTTTATCTCGTTGTTTTAAAATGGGTCCTATATATTATTCTATCTGATATTTGGCGCATTTGACCAAATTGTCAAAGCAATATCTAGCGCTATTAAATACTTGCTCAAGCTCAAGTATATGTGTGATCAATCTTCGCTCAGCGTATTTCGGAAAAGACAAAAATTTCATTTTACTGAAAATACACCTATAATCTATATAACTTAAAAACCAAAACCATATCTAAATACAAAATGTGATACAAATCGTTTAAGCTGTTTCAGAGATACACGAAATAAATGTATATATATATATACATATATACAAGAATTGCTCATCATAAGATAAAAAAATTATATATTGTATAATAAATAATAATTAAAAAAAATTTCCAGGTACTACACCATCTACTTCACCACAAACCGTTGGTTGTACCAAGTCTTTGGAACGATGAATTGGTGGCAAGTGTGCTTATATCAACTAGCAATATGGGGTATGATGTATATTTTCTACAGAATACAGTTTCCAGTAAATAGAATTTTCCACGGTAAAGAAGAAAATGTTGAAAGTAACGAACAAAACGAACAAATGGACAAAAATGATGAAAGCAGTATTAAACTTAATGAAAATACAAAGATTGATGATACAAAAGAGAACGGTAAAGTCATTACTGATTTGAAAACGCCACCGTTCTCAACGAAATCTTGGAGCATAAAATTTAGAAGTATTAAGAATCAATTCGAAAATTCCCGATTGTGATAATAATTATTATTAAATTAATGAAATTAATGTGAAATTTCAAATGATTTCGTGTGTTAGTTTATCATCGCTGACATGTTACTCGTATATTGATGGAAAAAGCAAAGTTGCCTTACATTTAAATATATTGGCCATATATCATTTTTAGCAGTTCAAATGGAATAAGCTAATATGTCAGCTGAATACTTAATTAATATGAGTGTGTTTGATTGAAGAAAATAGGTGTATCTTAAAAACTATGATTTTTAAATCTATTGCCCCTTAGATCTAAATGATTGCCAAAAAAAATTGCTCAAAAGAGTTAAGCCTACGTGTCTTAATTCTACCATAACTTGTAAACCTGTCAGGATCTGATGTATTATACAGGTTGAAATAAAATGGGCATATATTTCTGAGGTTAATCTGAAATATTTAGGTTTTTTAAGTTATATTTCTTGTCAGACGTAATCATATCATAGTAGAAGATCCCGATCTATGTGGTGGAGCCCTCACTCTTTTTCCATACAATTTTTTGTAATAATAAAACATGTTAACAAACATGATCCATGGGGGTTGTCACCAAAAATTTGTTCCACATAGATCAGGATCTTAAACTATCATCTATAGCTGCAATTATAAATCATATATAGAAGAATTGGCTTAATCTTATTAATTTTAATTACTTAATATTATATTTATTTTAAAGTTTTGTTGTCACCAGACAGTTTAAACCTTGAATATTTATTAGATATTATTTGAATGTATTTACTTAATAATACAATTTGTTCGTTTCAAAATAACCTTGCAAATAAAAATACCTATCGAGGAATTTTTGTCATTAGTAGTAAATATTTGGATATGTATATAAAATAAACAAAAAATAACAATTAAAATATCCTCGTTTCCACAATTCTTCTAATGATTTTTAGATGTCATATTGTTAATACTATGTTCTAATATAAAAGATTACTTTATATTTGGGTGGCTTTATTAGAATAATTATTATAATTAAACAAAACAAATATAATTAGTCAAAGCGCTATCAGTCGTGTATAGTGATTTTTTTTGGCTAAAGTCATCAAAGTTAAAATACGTTAAGGTTTTTATAATATGTAGCTAATATTTAATTATATTAGAAAATAAATGGATTTGAGACTGGATTGTTGTTGTATTATTTACATATTATATATATATATATATATATATATATATATATATATATATATATATATATATATCCCTAAAATATTTTATTCAAAGAATATGTGTTGTTAAGTTAAATATATTTTGTTAAGAAATTGTTTTCCTTATGACGATTAAAGGAGTTGAGGAGTTCAAAGGAAAATATTATATTGTATTATTTTTATTAAAATTTATACAAAAATTCTTATAAAATATGAATAATTACAATTTTTTTTTACCAATAATTTGAGAATTGTGGAATCGAAAAAAGTATTACATGACAATTGTTCGAAATACTTCGTTCGGTTCCTCTGGTGGTAACCTTTGAAAAATACTGACATTTTGTTAACAGTGGCAGCGTATCTATATATTTTTCATGAAATTATTTTGTATTGCCCATACGTATTTAAATTGTTTTTAAGAATAGTATCGCATTCTCCCAATAAAGCGCCATTCCATATACCAATATCAAAATTTTGCTTAAAAACAATGGGTAACTAAAGAGTATTATATTATAATTATCTAATATCTGAAAAAAGTAATGAAATACTGATGTACTTTTATCAGTTATACCAATAATTTAAACTATCGTTGGTTATATTTCAATATGATTGAAGTGATATATCTAAAAACTTGTATTAAAAAATAGAACAATTTGCTTACAGTTCCTTATGTTTAACCGTTTAGAACAAAATTGGCAGTGACATAAGGTTTGTGTACATTGCACAAATTAATATATACTAATATTATAAATGTGAAAGTCTAGATGTTTGGATGTTTGTTACTCAATCAGGACAGAACGGCTGAACGGATCTGGATGAAATTTGGCACAGAGATAGATTATGGTCTGGAATAGCACATAGGCTTTTATCTCGAAAAATATACGGTTCCCGTGTGATAGATTTGTATTTGTTTTTCTAGAGTTCAACTCGAGATAAGTGAGGGTAAAACGCTATTTTACTATAATTATTAAATAATTATTTAAATATGTTAAATAATTCAAAAAGGTCTCCTTAATTAATAAATAACCCATTTTTGATGAAATTTTGGTACAAAAATAGTCATCAACTTTGTATAGCTTACACTTAGCTTTAATCGGTACTGCATAGTTTTGTATATATTAACATAAGTTAATATTGCTAGAATAAAATTTGGCAACAAAAATCGAAACCTTTGGACCTAATTGCACTTAAGAAATTAATTTAGTTACAATATAATATATATTTTGTAATATTGCATTTATTTTTAACTTATTATCATTACGATTAATCTTTAGACTTTGAATTATATGTAAAAATAGCAAGTTTCGGAATTCAGTCTAAATATAAATATATGATATTAAAATTCATTAAAAATATGGATATATCCCATGTACAGCATATAATCCAATGTCCTCCCATTTCAAAACCTAAGGACGTCTTGAAAAGACCTCAAAAGGTTTTTGATCTCTCAAAGGTTACCGTAAACTGAATTAGAATATGTCACCTATCCTGTAAAGCAAGTGCCGTGGTGGTCTGACATGGTCATCATAAACTATCCTCTGAGGTTGGATGTAGTAGGAAGACGGAGTTCTGATAGACACTCCTGAAATTTGTGGGCGTTTTCTAATTTGATAGTGACTTATTTCTGAGGCTGCGAATTGTGGTTCGGAATGTACATTATTTCTGAATCTTGAAAACGTAAATTCTCTTTCAGGAACTATAAAACCACTCGGTATTCTTATATTTGGGCTTACAGCTTCATTTAATCTCACATCATAATCGTTTTCAATAGAATCAGCTAAGTTTTGCTTTATATCCGGTATTTTTAAAGGCTTTCCAGTAGCAGTGTAGCCTTTTGATATTTCAGGATTTGGCTCTGGTTTTGATGTTTTTATTGCGGCCCCTAGGTATGGTTTAAGATAGTCATTGGGTGTAAGCGTAGATGCAAGCTGTTCTTTAATAGCTGCATAATTATCATTAAAATTTCTAAGAACTTTAGTAGCAAGGTTTTTAGCTTTATCTTCTGTAGTTACTTCTTGAGACGCACTTGAATCTGTTGTTGTGGATTCTTTAATAAGGGCAGGTTTAATTTCTACTGTTGTTGTTGGTTCTTTTTTATCTTTTGATTCATATTCGATATCCTCTTCATCGTAATATTCATACTCTTCTTCTGGTAGAGTTGAAGTTGTTGGCTTTTCTGTAGCAATTGTTGTTGTTATTTTTTCTGTTGTTGTGCTCCTAATTGCCACTGTTGTTGGAGGTTCTGGTGTAGTAGTTGTTGTAGTTGTCGTAGAGGTAGTAGTAGAAGTAGTAGGTTTAGGGGTGGTATTGGGTGGTGAGTTCAAATCTCTTCCAGCAACAGGCTGCAATCCTCTTGGAAGATAGGGACTCCCACCCCTAGATGGTAAAAAAGGCCTCCTTACAACTTTAACATTAGGTTTTAAATCTTTGACTTTAGTAGTTATATCCTCTTCATTATTTCTCTTCTGTTTATCATGTTTTTCGTCGTAGTAATAATCATCATCTTTAACTTTTGATGGGCGTTCGTCTACGGTTCTTTGAGAAATATATTTTTGAGACCTCACTGGAGGTTCGTCATAATATTCTTCTTCGTCATATTCTATTTGATCCTTCGCCTTTATCCTTTTTGCTTTATCATCTGAGGTATAATGAGGCCGTAAAGGTTTAAATTTTTCTTTTTCAATAGGATCTAACCTCGGCCTTTGCTGAACAATACTTGTTTTCGCAGAAGGAGAGGGTTTTCTTGTATCTTCTTCTTCGTAATCGTCATAATATTCATCATCATTTTTTGACGGTGCTTTTGTAGTTGTTATAACAACATATTCATATTTATCCTTTTCACTACTTGGTACTGGTCGTTTAATTTTTGGCGGCATTCTCGGTTTGCCGAAAATTCCATGTCCATTGGGTTTGACTAAAGGTTGACCTTCAGGAGCTGTCGGAGCTTGCCTTTTTTCTTCCTGCACTCTTTCTTCACCTTCAATATTCTTTTCAGCCTTCAAATATGGCCTCTCATCTCGGTTTCTGTAAGGTCTATCAAAAATTCTTCTACCTTCATTTTGTTGGTAACGGTCATCTCTAGTTCTTTCTCTGGGTTTAATTTCGGGTTCAGAAACTTCATCTTTTAATGGTCTTATTTCATCTCTTGGTTTCTTCTCATCTCTAACTCTAATTTCATCTCTTGGTTTTATTTCATCTCTGGACCTGATTTCATCTCTAGATCTTATTTCGTCTCTTGGTCGTATCTCATCTCTAGATCTTATCTCATCTCTTGGTCTTATATCATCTCTTGATCTTATGTCATCTCTTGATCTTATATCATCTCTTGATCTTATTTCATCTCTAGGTCTTTTTTCATCTCTCAAAATAACTTCATCTTTTGACTTAATTTCATCTCGTGGTCTTATCTCATCTCTTAAACGAGATTCGTCTCTGTTGGATTTTATTTCATCTCTAGGCCTTATTTCATCTCTCATTCTTGTTTCATCTCTTGGTTTAATTTCATCTTCGTCTCGCGGTCTAAGTTTATCTCTGGGTCTAAGCTCTCCTCTCTTGTTACCTCGTGGCCTATCCTCTTCATCATCTTTAGGCCGGTACCTATCTTCTTCATTATCACGAGGTCGACTTGGTCTTCTACCACCTTTGTAAGGTCTTCTATCTTCGTCATCGTAAGGTCTTCTGTTGTCAGGATATGGTCTTTTGTTAGGTCTCGGTCTTTCATATGGCCTTCTGTCTTCATAATCCTCTTCTGGTTCATCACGTGGTCTTGAGCGAGTTTCATACCTAAAAAAAGATAACAAAATAAATTATTATTTTTTATTTTTCACTAACATCACTTAACAATGACATAGTTAAAAAAATAACACAAAACTAAAATACTTGATTGATGTACATCTCAATAAATTGTCAACTATTCAGAGTACTTGAATATTACTAAAAATGTATGGCATATAAAAATCAAAACATTATATTATTAGCTACTTCATTGAAATTGAATGTAAATCTGGTGTTATAAATTGCTAGAGTACATTTCAAAATAATATAAATCAAAATTTCTTGTTTTTCGCTAAAATTAACGTTTCACATTAAATCAACGGCAGTATGCTCCGATACAGCCCTACCAATTTTTAGGCATAGTTTATCTTTCTAGGTACCTAACTTTGATTGTAATTTTCGACTGTGCCTAGATGTCTAGAAAACTTAGATAATGTGATAGAACTAAGTATGAAGATGTGGATAAAGCCTAGTTGATAAATAAGAAGATTTTATTTTCAGATTTTCGTATAATTGGAAATTAAACTTGAATAACCATAAGTAGTTTTTTTATAATAAATGATAGAAGTATCGTTAACTATACATATTAGCAATATAATATAAGCAATGAATACCTGTCATCATAATCATCATGAGGTCTACGTTTGCCCGGTCTTCTGGGCCTGCTCCTCCTACCACCTCTGAAAGCAAAGGAAAAGCTTAGTATAAAATTTTATATTATTTTAAGCAGAATAAATTTTGTCAAATGAATAATGGAGTGGAAAGAATATTGAAATAGCATTGCATCCAAAAAATGTACTCAAAATCCGAATTTGTTTTTTAACTATAACATTCTTAGAAAAAAGCTATATCAGACACAGAGACAGAAAGACAGATCCACATATTATCTTATAAGGAACCAATTTGTTTTCCTTCAAATTAGGGAACCCAGAAAAATATTTATTAGTTTTACCTTTCTTCGTAATCATAATCATCTCTCGCAGGATAGTAATAGTCATCGTCATAATAATCGTATCTGGATGGTGGTCGACGACGACCACCGGGTCGCGGTGGTCGCGCTGTAGTAGTAGTTGTAGTTGTTGTTGTAGTTGATGGTTTTGGAGGTGGTTCTGTTGATGCTGCTTTGTATAGAGCCTCATTCCTAAAATAAACATATTTGTATTTTATACTGTCATTAAAAAATAATGAATATAGTAGCATCCATAGGGTATAGTCTAGATAGACTAAAACTCATCTAAATCTGTCCAGCAGTTTTGGCGTATTGAAGTTAATTGATTTTTTATTAAGTCAGCTCTCTTATTTTATTATACCTATAAAGCTCAGTCAGATTAATCTTACAATATCTATCTTTCACAAAGAACATAGCATTTTTGTATTATTCTCTTCCATGTTTTGTGAGCTACTATATTCGGCAATAATAAAGTAATGGAAATTCTAGAACATAGACATTTTTTTAAATATTTTTTAATCATTTTAGCCCAATCTAATAAATTGCCTGATATATGGTTGTTGGGCATATGGAAATAATTCATAAAGAATCCAGTTTATTGTACATGGATTATGTGGATCACAAATACAAATCTCAATTTAGTAAATCATTATTTAAAAAATAATAAGCTTTAAGTATATATAGTAGTAATTAAAACTATATTTCAAATCAACTTCACCCGTTATTAGTTTTTTGCCTAATCAGGTACTCGTACATTGACTTCAAAGCCATATTAACCTGTCTCCTTACCTGCTAAAATAATTTGCTGAATTTTTACAATCAACTTCAGATACGAATTGGCAGATAAAAGTTTTCTGATCAAACGCTGTATAATTCGCACACAAGAAGTCATATCGTGTACCGAAAAGACAATGGTGGTAGACCTGAAATATGCAAAAAAAATAAGCATATAAATATAATGTAAATAAACTAATAAATAAACAGTTATAAAATAACAAAAGAACTGAACTTATTTTTCAAAGAAATAAGAACACAAATACTTAGCTTAAGATGAATGTTTCATCAGTAGACTGTTAACATATTAGTCTGCCTAAAAACTTGAATAAAATAGTCTGGCCATGCTATGAATTGTATTTCTTCAGTAAGATATTCTTTACATAGTCCAACATACCTGACATTTATGAGGAATTGATGCGTAGAAACCATCATGCAATCCGTCACACTTAAAGTCCATTTTTTCTGGAGGTGGAACAGTTTCGTAGAATGGATATTCTGACAAATTATATCCATTTAACTCTCGTGGCAAATTGGGATCATAGATATAATCTATTTGTGGTATTCCTGATAGTTTCGATGTTTTATTGGTTTCAGCGTCTTCGCCTGTTACTTCCACCTAAAATACATATAAATTTAATAAAGTTATCAATAAAATAATTAGGAATTTTGTCTGTCCGTCATTGTCTGAAAGAGATGCGTTAAAACAGAACATTAACAAAAAATGACGCTATATTGGCATGTATCTATACATAGTAATTAGAACAATGTTACTACATAATCATAAATAGAATAAACTAGTACTATCATCAAATTGAGCTAAGTACTAATAAGCAATGTTATTTTTATTCAAAAGTCCATGCCTTAAGAGGAAATGAGCGATCGACCTTGATAACCAGCTAAAGGAATCCAGTATGTACAGTTTCCTATACGATTATAAAAGTTGCAAAATTTCCGGTATTTTCTTTTGCCTTCATTTGTTGTTGCTTGTCAGTAATAAAGAATATGAAGTATACGTTCAGTTGCATATTATATGGGAGAGTACCTTGGCGATATTTAGCATATTGCTCAAACCTCCACTTTTTTCTGGATCAATTTCATTTTTACACTTTCTAATATGTGGAAGACAAAACATCGTGAGGAAACCTGCTCGTCTGGTAGAACCTACATAGTTTTCCAAAGACAATAAGGTAGACTATAGCTTATCCCTAATATTGAGCCTCGTGCCAAGCAGTAGATTTCCTTTATCTACCAAACAAAGAAGATAACTTGAGTCTATATTACTTTCCTACATCTCAGAATACGTGAAATAGATCAAGGCCTAAGAACTATCGATTTACCAATTAACAATGCTAATATATTTTCCTCTTCCGTGGTTATACAACCCATTTGAAACACGAACCTAATAAATATTTTAATATGTGATTTATTTAGATTTTAATCGTTATGTACATGGTTAGTTTTGTCATCTAGAAAAAAATATTCCGTTGAACCTTCTAATGTACTGGTATTATATATAGTGTGGATATTTGATCCATTTAAAATATAGAAAATATATTTAAAAATATATAAAGATAGCACAAAAATAGTAAACCCGACTGTGTAAAAAGCGAACTAAAAAGATGGAAACAAGTTGGCGAAAGAGCATCAAACAACAGTCAGACCTAGAAATAAAAAATAAATAAAATATAAAACTTTTATGGAATCTTAGGATCGAAGAAATTATAATACACTAGCGGCTTCACCTTTCTTCCTTTGGTACTACGCTAGGAAGCTTAGAAACGCATAGAGGACAAACAAATCAAAATTTCTTTTTTTTGCTGGACCAAGAACCACCGTAAGCAGATCAACTCACCAAAATTTCATCTCAATTAGATGAATTGTTTTGAAATACAAAGATTACAAACATACAAAAAAACAATTATTTTAATGTATTAAACAAATTAAATAGGTCGAGTCACGGATGAAATATTTTAAATACGAAAGTTTGTAGGATGTATGGGTGTTTGGATGTATAGTTGTATGGATGTTTGTTACTCTTTCACGTAAAAACTACTGAATAGATTTTAATGAAACTTTATAATAATATAGCTCATATATCAGAATAACTCAAAGGCTACTTTTTATATCGGAAATACGTACGGCTTACGTGGGTTAGTTTTTTTTCTAGAACTATTACAATATATAACAAAGATATAACCTCTTGATTTTCATCTTCGGGCCCTGTCGCTTCTTCTTCCGGTACTGCTGTGGTGGTACTGGTCTTAGAGAAGATTAACTTCGTAGCTCTCACTGCTGATGTTGTTGGTAGATCCGCTGATAGGCATAGCAATGTTACACCTGTAAATAATATGTTTTTATCAATCTTCTATATATCCACATAAGTTGCTTATTATAAAAAAAAAGATCCACCAACTTTAATTAAACCAACTTGTTAGGCCCAAGAACCTAAAAAACAGCCTAGTTTTATAATAACATGATGTTTTTTTAGTATTAATTTAACCCCTTAGGGGTAAGATAAGTGAATGTTAAATGGAAAAAAATAGTTTTTATTCAGGTACGTCCCCGGTTGGTTCACTGCTTAGTGGTGTACTAGCTAGCACGCACGGTTGAAGATCGAGGCGAGGTTTCAATTCCTAGGTCGGACAAGAAGAGTTATTGGGTGGGTATTGTTATTAAGAGTTTTTGGGAAAGTCGAACATAATCATTTTTCTATGTTAATAGTATTTATATTATAGGTAAGAGGTAAAGTTTGTGACTTTGTGAGTTTGGGACGTTGTAGGGGGTAATCTCTGGATCTATGGAACCGATTTAGATGAAATTTGGTAAGAAGATAGTTTGAGATCCCGGGAAGGACATAGAATACTTTTTATCCCGGAAATCATCCCTAATGGGGATAAAAATGAGGATGAAAAGTTGTATTGGGAAGCAAGCTAGGGACAAACCCGAGGGAAGTGAAGTTTGATTCGCTTGTTATTGATATAACTAAAGCTCGTTAATAGCTACTAAACAAAAAAACATAAAACATTCGTATTTTATTAAGCTTTTATCGACAAAATCAATAATTGTAAGTCACAAAACTCCATCTTTAAAATATCAATATGAATTCAAAATAAATTATTAGGCAATTATTAACAAGATTGTCCTTATTTTATTACAAATATTTACAAAATACACGAATTTTGTGTCATTGAACGATTTCTTGTTATTTTAAGAGGATAATCTGAAGGTCGATACCTGCTTTGAATTGCAATAATTTTTAACATTTAAACGACGCAGAATCAGATGAATCTTCTTTTCAAACTAACTTAACATTTTTTGAAATTTTATAAGACCGCTTTGAAAGTATAATGAAAATCGGTGAATTATAGAAATTGAGTAACAAACAAATAAGCCATCAAAGTATTGCTAATAGCCTAAAACCAAAGAGTTTTTTTTTGTACAGATTAGCGCGAGTGAAACCGCGGGTTCTGCTAGTAAATAATATACTTAATAATAGCAACACTAAATAATATTAGTATTAATAAAGTTTAAAAAAATTGTACTATTTATAATAAATAATAACAGCTAAAATTAAATAAGTAATATTGCTATATTTAATAATAATACTCATTAATTTTTTAAATGTTAAGAATTAAAATCAACAAATGTTGTAAGGTACTTTGGTGCGATTTTTGAATTTTTGAAATTATTTTTTCATTTAAATTGGTTCAAGAGCTTCGGAGATTCGATCGTACAAACAGACAAACAGGCAGAGAAGCAAAAAAATAGAAAAATATCTAGATTTGTTCTATTTTTCTCCTTACACCCCCATGACTCCGTATTTAGCTTTTTTTTTCTAAGTACAGACATTCGATGCTATACCTCTACAGTTTTATTATACGTAGGTATAGATGTCAAATATTCGCGTAAATCTAACAAAGTATTAAATAATGACAATTTTAATGAGATTTTCCAAAAAATATTTAATGTACTATAGTTTCGGCTTAGTTAGAATTTTATCATATTTTATTATATACTCGGTAGATATTATAAATTATTTGTGAAAACGAAAATACGCAACATATATGAGTTTTGTCGTGTGTTCAGGAGATGACGTTGTTCGAATTGTTAAGGGCTCTATTATAATTCACCAGAGCGACGTTGACGTTCATGACCCGGGTATCGCGAATATGTTGTTTTTAATGTCACAGTCTACAATCGTTAGGTGGCGTTGTATATATATATATATATATATATATATATATATATATATATATACATTGTACGCCATTTTTAAGCATCTTATATATAATTTAAAAGAGGAGCTTTGGTATAGTTAAAGTTTATTTGGAGAAGGACTGCGGAAAGCCAAAAATTTACTTGCTGTATCCCGTTCTGCAACAAACCGCTTTGTTTTAATGAATCAGTTAAACCACAACGGTACTATTTTAATATAAACGGTAATCTTTTCGGATTATTTCCCAGGTTTATTTTGAGTTTTGGTTCCCGACCATGACCATGATTTCTGTGCACTCGAAACGTCGGGAACCAAAAATCTAAATAAATCCGCGAAAAAATTCGTAAAGAAAGTTTTATTTAAAATGACATTTTAAATATTCGCGTAAATGTGAGAAAATATTATTTCAAAAACCTTATAAGTTAGTAAGCTTTACCTCTTGAAGTCAAAAAAAAATATATGAAACGCCAACTTATTTTTGCCATAAAATGCCAAATATTCGCGTAAGTCTGATTCTTGGATTAGTTGGCATTGAATCAAAAAATATTCGATTATATATTCTAAAGGAAAAATCCTGTTGGTTTTATTTACTGTTAAGTACTTTATATTCGTTGTATTACGTCACAATTATGATAATTCTTGCAAAATCTAAATTAAAAACTAGTTCTTGAAATTAATGATAATTGCAAATCGCAAATGATTTGGCAAAAAAACTGTTTGTGCCTATTTATATAAGAAACGACCGTAAAGAAGAATGTACAGGCTGCTTCTTTTCCGGTAAATAGAAGTGAATCACGTGACAAAGGAGAGAAGAAGAATACAGAAGAAGAATTGTTTGAGAGATAGTTTAGTGTATTTGGTTGAAAGTGATAATATTTTTAAAGGTTCAATGTAGAAGCTAAGGCAAGAAAAATAAATCTAGCAGAATAAAATTTCATACGATGAGTTATAAAATTTTATGTTTTTGCATCAATTTTAATGCATTTAATCTAATGTTATTAAAATGTCACACCGCTCTTTAATCCTTGACTTTTGCTGTCTGCTCATGACTTATAATTTGGTTAGTTGTTTAATTTATTCATGTATATACATAAAAATCGAATGTTGTTCGTTGTTACCAATGATCAGTATTTTATTTTTCGCATCACTCGAGAACAGTTGGACTATATTGGATTTTTTTTAGTAATATCACTCATTGTCTTACTAATATTATAAATTATTACTAATGTAATAAACTAGCGGCTCACCCTCGCTTCGCTCGCAAGACAAATTTATCCCACGGGAATCGTACATTTTCGGGATAAAAGTAGGCTATTTGTTATTCTGTTGTATGACTTTATTATTGTAAAGTTTCATTAAAATCCAATCAGAGTTTTTGTGTACTAAGCTATATAAGTTACTATAGTCTTTGAACTATCCCACGGGACCTCTTTAATTTTATAGGATGAAAAGTATTTAAAATGTTGATCGGGGATATAAGGTACCACCATGCAAAATTTCATTTACATCGGTCCAACAGATCAACAGTTTCGGAGATAAGCCCGCAAAACAGACATACAGACAATAATAATATAATGTAAAACTATAATTATATTAAACAACAACACTAACTTGGTAAAGGAGTATCAAATAACGCTTTTACGCAATCCTCGAGGACATCGACTCATATATACCGTAAATTTCGTTTTATTTTAATATCGATGTGCTCCCCGACGTGGATAAAAAATAAAAATAATATATCTGTTAATTTCCAATACTTTTTATAAGACATTCATCGAAATAAGTCTATAAATGTTTAATTATTTCATTCATATATTAATTACTAGCGGCTCACCCTCGTTTTGCTTCGGGTTCGTCCCTAGACGAAAAAAAACCTATCCCACGGGAACCGTACATTTTACTGGGATGATATGTAACCTATACCCTTCTTCAATAAACGGGCTATCTAATGCAAAAACTTTTTTAAATCGGATTAGTAGTTCCTGAGATTAGCGCGTTCAAACAAGCAAACTCTGCCTCTTTATAATATTAGTATACATTAATCATTAATTTATTTATGTATTTATTTAGTGACATATTTATTTATCGAACTTTATATTCATAATTTCTTAATAATTTAGTTAGATATCAAAAATATGCATTACGTACAGTAATATTACTGTTTTTAATGCTTAAAGTATAAAATGACCTTATACATAACAGATAAAATAAATCCCGGATAAATAAAAAAATAAATAAAAATAAAATAATTAATTTATTACAAAATAACATTTTTTTTAATATATATAGTTAGGTACGTGTTAGATTGCCGAAACGGCCTCAATCACAGCCTTGGTATTAATGTGATGCTTGACATTAAAATTTACCATTTAAAACTAACTTTAAAGACATTTGAATTTATAAATGACTAGCGACTCATCTTGCTTCGCGTGTGTTTGTCCCTAATTATGATTTAACGTTTAGTATAGATTTCTCATTGATGAGATATTTTCTCGCAGCAAAAAGTATTCTATATGTTGACCCGGATAACCAGCTATCATCATCCAACATTCATCAAAATCCCTCAGAAATACAGACAGACAGAAAGACAAAAATCTCTGAGAAATCTAGATTAAACGTTAAGTAGTAAATATTACTTATATTTTAATATTTTACATTATGATAATTATTTGATACAAGAAATATATATGAAAACAAAAAACTTACAAAATAAACTAAATCCCAGCCATCTATGTCGGGACCGCTTCATTGTGTTTCACCTGAAACAAATACAAAATTTTCATTAATTTTTATCTACGTCCCTCAACGTCAACGAGAAGTTGTTAGATTAAGAAAATAAACTGAGGAGTGCTTGAGAAAGTGAACACGCACATATCTTCACGCTACGATATCTTCACGCTACAATATCATCACGTTATTCCTTAATTTGAAGATAATTTAACCGTTTTAACATTCACTAGGTCATCTAGGCTCCCATTATAACAATGATATGTACTGTTTCTTGAATACTTTACGTCATTATCTATTGTAAAGACTCCTTTGTTTGGACCAAAAAAATATTTTACAATGGAAGCTGTATGGTTATAAAACTAATATACCGTGAAGTGTCGAGTTTTATATCCTTGCAAAAACCTATGGTAATTTCAAAGGTAAGATATAATTTTATTTTCATTTGAACGTCCCACTGCTGGGCGTGGGCCCCTTCAATAACAGGGGGGATCAGGTCATAGTCCACAACACTGGCGAAGTGCGGGCGAACTGAGCAATGAGCATGTCTTTTAAAAACTTGATAGGTTCTCTCAGAGATGCAGGTTTCCACACGATGTTTAACTTCACCGTGAGACAAGTGGTAATCATGTTGGAAATGATTCATTTGAAAATATCACAGGATTTGAACCCGCTTCACTCGGTTTCCCAAGCGATCGCGTAACCACTGGACTACCCAATACTATTATAAGTATTTAAATTTTGGCATTTAAAATATAAGTATGGATTCATATCATGATTGTTGGATTTTAAAGACGAATCTAGGATCTGAATGAAGCCCTTCTAAACATCAAAATCCCTTCTAAAATAATCGTATACCATTTACTTTATTGAAGGTAACCTAAAAACATATCACGTTTCTTAACATCAGGATGTTTGTTATTAAAATCATCTTTATTATACTTTTTAGTCAACAAACGTACGCAAGATTCTCATTCTAAATAAAACTACATTGTAATGTAACTAAGTTCTATTTTAGAATGTTATTAATATCAAAAGACGTGCTTCTTTTTTAAAAAGATTTTCATTTTCTCATCCTCGCTTTGCTCAGGTCCGTCCCAAGATGATTATTTTAAATTGACATAACTTAGTGTGTATCTTACCAGAATATATAATTGAAAACCGCACCTAAATCAATTAAGCAGTTTCTGAGATTAGAGCGCGCAAACAGACAAACAGTCAAAATTTTAAAAAATCATTGTTTGAATTCTATTGCGTTAACAAAGACAAAGATATCTTCCATGTACAGACAGAGATCAGTTATGCTTTTATTATATGTATAGATGAAGATATACACTGTCATTTTTCTTAAACTTTGAAGGACCTATGGGACCTTTGAAGTCGGTCAAAACAAAAAACAAAGACCTTTGACTTCAAATTTTATTTCCTGCTGTAAGCTGGACTCGAAGTTACGACCTCTAGCATAGTGATTAAAGACTAGCGGTCATACTCCTTAAAAATAGTCTCACTGTGAAAACGCCTATGCCGTGCCTTTTTTTGCTCGACTTGGCGGTGGCACTGCCGTGCCCCCCGATAGAACTCACTTGATGTGGGTGTAAACGGAGAGGGTATCTTATTGTTTGAATAGCATTCAATGACACAATGTGTAGCTCTTTCCGGCTTTGCTTTTTCGAATTACTATTGAGTATTAAGTGATTATTACTGAAGGCATTTGTAGACTTTTATTGGGTCAAAATTTAATATTTTATATTCATATTTGCGAATGTACAACGACTTATAAAATATCCTATCAAAAAATTACAAACTACAAGAACCCGCAGCTTCACTCGCGCTTATACTACAAAAAAAATCTCTAAAAAGGTAGTTTCATATAAACTTTCATCCCCTATATAGGATGAATTCCATAAAATGCTAAAACACGTATTTAATTAATTTTATTGAAGAACAATGATACCAAGTTTAAACACCGGAAGAGGCTGGCACCGATTTCGAAAATAACTGATTTAAATGGAATTATCTTTATTATTTTCTTATATCTTAAACATATCCATGTATATCTTAAAAAACGTACTTACACCGCTGTAATTTAGTTACAAAGAAATTATTCTTTTGCATGCTGCTAAGTAAAATTAACCTATGTTTTTTTTTAATTCAGCAAGAGTTATGGCTTCTTTACATTACAGAACAGTAGTATAGTAATCAACCCTTTTTGACCTCCCACTGCTGGGGGTGGGCCTCCCTTTAATACGAGGGGGATCATGCCATAGTCCAACACGCTAGCCAAATGCGGGCGGACTATATATGTCTTTCGAAAACTTGCTAAGTTCTCTGAGACATGCAGGTTTCCTCACGATGTTCTCCTTCACCGTAAGACAAATGATAGTGATGTTGAAAATGATTCGCACATGAAAATGACACAAAAACGGGATTTGAACCCGCTTCATTCGGTTACCCAAGCGAGCGCGTCACTGGTCCACCACTGTCTCTTTACATTATACATCCAATAAATATCCAAACTCCCACATAGCAAACTCTAGTTTCTCAGACTTGCGAGTTAATTTCCATTATAACAAAAACGCTGGGTCGTTCACCTTGGCTTGCCCTTACTTTTACTTTTTGTTCTAAGATATAGTAAAGCATGTTCTGCAAATTATATATTTTCTTAACAAGTTTTAAATTATTTTTAGATAATTTAAATAAGCTCTATATACCTAAATAAATAAAAATATTGGGACAATAACACACAACACCATCTAGTTCCATGATAAGCTACGAGGCTTGTGTTATGGATACCAGATAGTTGATACACTACACATGTATAACTTTAAACACATACATTTTATAAATATAAACACCCATGACTAGAGTACAAACATTCATGCTCATCGCACAATTGAATGGCCCCAGAGGGTCTCGAACCCACGACCACTGGCACAGCAAGTAGGGTCACTACAAACTGTAGTTTTAAATGTAACTCCTAATAATTTTTGTTAGGCATCAATATATAGCCAATAAACAAAACTCCCCAATATGAAGAAAAACACATAGAATTTGGAGCTCAATTAATATTTTAAAATCCAGTGATTGACAAATAAAAGAAAGTATTTAAATTGTTACTAGCGGACCCGACAGACGTTGTCCTGTCTACACGTCTTTAATTTGAAAATTTCAAACTTTTTTTAATAATTTTTTTGATGAAAATTATTATTCAAATTGTGAATTTAAACCATTCCTAGATCCCCTTGAACACACACAAAAAATTTCATCAAAATCGGTCCAGTCGTTTGAGAGAAGTTCAGTGACATACACACTCACAGAAGAATTATATATATAAAGATTAAATTATCATTCTGATCTTCGAAACATTTAAACTGAATGTTAAAAGTTTGTCTCTTATGAAAGTAGATTCGAATATCTAGTAAAGTAAAAAGGTATCAACGAATTAAGAACCTCCTCCTTTTTGGAAGTCGGTTAAAAAAATTAGAATATTTTTTAAACTTCACACAATATTTATTATCTAACTATCAATTATATACATATATGAAGCGATATCGCTCGAGGTACATACATACATCCAGACATACATACATACATACATACATACATACATACATACATACATACACACATACATACATACATTCAGTCAGAATAGAGTTTGACACGTTATTCTATGTACTCCTACGCACTTCTCGCTTCCCCGATTGTCATCTTAGATGTTGTGGAGCCCTCAGATTGACACCTTTGCAATAAATCTATTCAATCAATCGATCAATTTTCCTGCTTATGACTTCAAAGCGTGTCAGTTAAGCACAGATTCACGCCATTCGCCAATGTCACGTAAAAAGTAGAAAACCCGACCTTCCTTGACCTTCTTTAAGTATAACCTAGTATATATTACACGATCTTCGGTATAACGAAGCACGATCAATCATCAAAAGTTCTCCAGTCCCCCGATTTTTCCTTCTACCATTTTTTTAATAATCTTACTAATATTACAAGTGTACAAGTTTAGATGTTTGGATGGCTGTTTGTTACTGAATAACGCCAGCACGGCTGAACGGATATGGATGAAATTTAGCACGGAGATAGATTATAATCTGGAATAGCACACAGGCTTTTTATCCTATAGACTTTTTATCTCGAAAGAATGTACGGTTCCCGTGGGATAGATTTGTCTTGTATTTCTAGAGGCGAATCCGAGTGAAGCAAGATTGATCCACTAGTAATTAATATATCGCTTCAAATGAAGCCTGTTTTTGAAAATAGCAACAAAAAATATCAAATTCGAATTAAAGCCAAACATACAAAATTATATAATAGAATATATGTAATAATTTTGTAATGCGTTATACAAAGCGAGGTTGTCCGCATCAAACGGTTTAGATAAGTCTGTTTCCATTATACAAAAAATGTTACGACTATTATTGCGACATTTTAATCAAAATTGGTATTTTTTACCGACTTCTATAAAAGATCGATTCTAGATTTGGCTATTTATTTTTTATGCATAAGATATGCGTTATATTCTGTGTTTTTTTTAAATTATTAATAATAACTATCACTACGAAAAAACCTTAAGGCTAGAAAAAGTTTAGATTTAATTTTAAAATTATACGAAATGCGTAATACATTTATAAGGCCAAAATGGTATAAGACTAATATATTTAGAATACCAAATATGTATCCATATCCATATTATTCATACTAATATTAATATAAATATGAAAGTGTGTTTGTTTCAGTACAGAAGATGTACTGCGCCGACCCCAAGTGATTGGGAAATGGCCAGGGAGAAGAAGAAGAAAGTGTGTTTGTTTGTTTGTTTGTTTCTCATTCTTTCACATCGAAACAATATGACGGATTGGCATGATTTTTTGTGTGAAGATAGTTGGAGGGCTGGAGAATGACATAGGTTACTTTTTACCATGGGAGATTATCTCATTCTCAGGGGAAAGCACGTTATATAATATGTAGTCTATTTATTCCATAGTAACCGTTAAAAACGACGAACGACGTTTA